GGTGTATTTTTAAACTGCCCTCAGGGAAAACGGGTTGCTGGATTTTTGACTTGACAGGAGAATTTATTCTTCCTTCTAATGCATTTGTTTTTAGTTGATAAACAAAGGAAGACACCAGCAGTTAGTGAATTGATCTTAGGTCAGAAGATATGTTAAAAATGTGGCTTAGAAGCTGGGTGTGGTGGCAAATGCCTGTACTCCCAGGGGCTAGGGAGTCTGAGATAGGAGTATTTTTGCAAGTTCAAAGCCAGCCTCAGCAATTTAGCAAGACCCTGTCTCAGAATAAAAAAATAAAAAGAGCTAGGCGTGTGGCTCTATGATAAAGCCCCCTGGGTTAAAATCCCCAGAACAAAACCAAACAAAGAAGTTTAGACCATGGAAAAGTTTGGGATGCACTATTTTTGGATGTGACCAAAGTGAGAATAACTAGTTATACACGGAGTATGTTTCTTTATTAAAAACAAAACAATAATAATAAAATAATAATAAATACAAATTAATGTTCTGTATCCTGAAAGTTACTTATCTAAATGCTGAACATTGACATTCTGAATCGTTACCTGAAAATATCTTGACTTCACTTCTGTTCTTTGAAGAAGTTTATATAGGATGTGGGGTTTTGACTTTTCATGTTTTCTGGCTTTCATTCTTTCTTTCTTTTTCTTTTTGGCGTGGGAGGGTACCAGGGATTGAACTCAGGGGCTCTTAACCACTGAGCCACATCCCCAGCCTTATTTTGTATTTTATTTAGAGACAGGGTCTCACTGAGTTGCTCAATGCCTCGCTTTTCCTGAGGTTGGCTTTGAAGTCGATCCTCCTGCCTCAGCCTCGCCACCATGCCTGTCTTGGCCTTCATTATTTCTGATGAGAATTCAGCTGTCATTCAAACCATTACCCTCTTGTGTGTAGTGTGTAACTTTTTTCTAGATATTTTAAAGATTTCTTTTTCCTTTGCTTTTTACCTTGTTCCCCCTTTATGGTTCTAGCAGTTGAACCCATTGGGCTCTACTACTGAACTACATCCCTAGTACTTTTATTTTTTGGTACAGTTCTCCTTAAATTGCTGAGGCTGGCCTGGAACTTGAGATTCTCCTGCCCAACCTTCCATGTCGCTGAGATTAAAGGTATTTGCTGCTATGTCTGGCTGCTTTTAGCATTATATTACATTAAACCTGGGATGATTATTTTAACCTTTTTTAATGTTCAGGAGAGTTTTTTTTTTAAATTTTTTTTTAAGTTACAGTTGGGCACAATAAAACCTTGTTTTTTTTTTTGTTTTTATGTGGTGCTGAGGATTGAACCCAGCTCCTCGCACGTGCTAGGCGAGTGCTCTACTGCTGAGCCACAACCCCAGCCCTTCAGGAGACTTCTTGAGTCTATAACTTTATCCTTATTTGGAAAAACTGGGCTGCCTGCCTGCCTTTCTTCCTTCCTCATCGTCTTCACCATCTTCTTTTTAAAATCTTTATTATTTTTTTTTTTATTTTGCAGAACTGAGTATTGAATCCAAGGGCACTTTATCACTGAGCTCCATCTCCAACCTTTTATTTTTATTTTGAGATGTAATCTCACTAAATTGTGAGGCTAATGTTAAACCTCCTGTGTCACTGGGATAATAGGCATGTGCCACCTTGCCTGGCTTCCATAGAGAATTTCTATCTTTAGTATAAGCGTATTTTTGTTTTGTTTCTGAGCATAGTTGTGATAACTGCTTTATATTCTGTAGACTCTTGGTCATCTTAGGGTATGTCTCTGATTTTTTTGTTTGTTTGAGAATGGGTAATGTTTTCTTGTTTCTATGAGGAATAATTTTGATTGTTTCTGATATTACAAGTAACAAGTTGTAGAAACTTTGGATTTTGTTATGTTTCTCTGAAGAGTACTGATTTTTTTCCTTCTTTTTTGGGAGTACTGGGGATTGAACTCAAGGACACTTGACCACTGAGCCACATCTCCAGCCCTATTTTGTATTTTATTTAGAGTCAGGGTCTCACTGAGTTGCTTAGCACCTTGCCATTGCTGAGGCTGGCTTTGAACTTGTGCTTCTCCTGCCTCAGCCTCCTAAGCTGCTAGGATTATAGATGTGCACCATGCCAGCTCTTTTTTTTTTTTTAAGTAGGCAGTTAATTGAATTGAAAATGCAAAATGCTATTCCTTTGATAGATAGCAACTTAGATTTCATTTTGTTTCCTTTAGCTGAGCTACATGGAGTCTAGTGTGTGTGTGTGTGTGTGTGTGTGTGTGTGTGTGTGTGTGTGGTTTTTCAGGGATCAGCCAGAGATTTGGACAGAGTTTTATGCAGATTTTAGGGTTCCCCTTCTTTGGCTTTCTTTTTATTTATGGTGCTTTTATTTTTCAGTGCCGTTGGCAGTTCTGGACTATTCTTTGGTTCTGCATGCCAGCGAGACTATGAGTTTCCCATTAGCTGCCCTGTGTGGCATAAGGGTAAAAGATGAAAATAGGAAACCCGAGCAGTACAGCTCCTTCTTCAAAGTGTCAACTCCCTTCCAACATCTGCCTGCTTTTATTCAATCTCCAGGACCTTCAAGTGGTCATTTTTATATAGAAATTAAGCTGTTTTGAGAGGTAGAGGGTTAGTCCTTTAGTAACTGGTTGGCTATACTAGAAGTCTCAAAATAATTTTTAAATAAATTTTTAAATTTTAGATTTATAAAAAATTGCAAAATAGTTGGTTCTTAAATTGGTTTTAAGTAAAAATGTTTCTAAAATATGTCAGTGCTTCACTGGCTTCTTAAAATGCTGAGTTTAACTGTTAATTAATGTCAGTGTTCTGAATATAAATTCAGTAATGCACTAATAGTCTTAGTATGTGAGATTATTTTCCTTCTTCCTCAAAAGCCTCAGCCATAACACCTCTTTTTGTGAGAGCATCTCTGTGTGCATGTTTTTCTTTGCTAAATTAGCTCTGTTGATGTACTCTCTTTCCTTTAATTTTCTATTGCAACGTGTTGTGTTCAATAAAACAGCTAAATAAACTTTTAAAATTTGTTTGAAGTAAGAGTAAGTATTTCCGAGAGCTTGAGTGTTGGTTTAGTGAGTCAGGCACCTGATCCTTTGTGTGTGGTTGTGTGACGGGTGTGAGTTGCCCTGAGGCTGGTTCTCTAGACTGTGCCGGCCACCACATTGAGCACCACCCCGTGTGTGGCCACTGATTGCTTCAAAGTGTCTAGTCTGAATTGTGTAATTATACCATATACACCAGATTTTGAAGGCTTAGTACAAAGAAAAGAATGTAATAACTTTTTAGGTTGATTACATGTTGAAATGATATTTTAGATGATATTTTTTGTGTTAAAAAATACTACTTTAATTACACCTACTTACCTTTCTTTTTCTTCCTCCCTCCTCTCCCTCCCTCCCTTCCTCCCTCTCTGTTTTTCTCTCTCTTTTTCTCTCTTTCTCTTTTTCTGTCTTTCTTTCAATTGAATCCATGGCACTCTATCACTGAGCCACATCCTCAATCCTTTTTATTTTCTGTTTTGAGACAGGGTCTCACTAAATTGCCCAGACTGGCCTCAAATTTGGAATCCTCCTGCCTTGGCCTCCTTAGTAGCTGGGATTTACAGGTGTGAACTACCATACCTCAACTTTTTTTTTTTTTTTTTAAATGTGGGCTGTTTCATGAATTTGTGTCATTTTTGTACAGGGGCCATGATAATCTTCTCTGTATCATTTCGATTTTAGCGTATGTGCTGCTGAAGGGAGCACTCTTTTTACATTTTCAGTGTGACTACTAGAAAAATTAAAATAACATTTGTGACCCTCATTATATTGAATATAGTTTAGGAAATTTATCTTGCATGATAATGATGTGAGTTATGCCATAAGAACTGTGAGACCAGCCAGGTGATTCTTGTATCTCCTGAGCTTCAGGATAAGAACCTGCATCTTGGCAGCTAATACTGTGGAACCTGGAGTTCAGACACTCAGCTCTGCCCTCCTCAGTTGTGTGACCTATGGTGGATTAATTGGCCTCTCTAACTGCAGTTCCTTCATCTGAGCATGAGGAAAACAATACCCAACTTCATATGGCTATTGTGGGGTGAAATGTATGTGGACAGTGAATATGGAGCAAAGCAAGTGAGAAATAAATTGCTAGCTGTCTTATTTTCAGAAAGTTTTGGCAACATTTTGATTCATTCTAATTGGTATTTTTTTTTTTTAAAGAGAGAGTGAGAGAGGAGAGAGAGTGAGAGAGAAAGAGAGAATTTTTAATATTTATTTATTTTTTTAGTTCTCGGCGGACACAACATCTTTGTTGGTACGTGGTGCTGAGGATCGAACCCGGGCCGCACGCATGCCAGGCGAGTGCGCTACCGCTTGAGCCACATCCCCAGCCCCCTAATTGGTATTTTATAGGGAGTACAATCAAGGTCGATCCAGACAGACAATGACTGTATTCTTGTTCAACCCCCTCCCACTTTCTTCATGTCAGTCAGGTTTTGTTTTATACCCCACGGATCCCCCCACTTTTTGGTGGTATTAGGGATTGAATCTAGGGCCTTGTGCATTGCTAGGCAAGTGCTCTACCACTGAGCTGTATCCCTAGACTAACAGTATCTGTACTGAAGAATTTGGAAGAAAAAAAATGTGGATTCCTCTGTGAAAAGAAGAGATGTTACCTTTAAACATCAAGTCTTTTAATTATATGTTTTATAATTTGTTCTGAAGAAATACTAGACTTTGCTCCTTGTGGCTCAGGCTGTTGATGGGAGCATGCCCAAGGCAGAACTGAATGTTTTCATCCTGGTTCTGTTGTGCTTAGTTGGAAAGTGCGCTCCTTGCACACCTACACTTTGTTTTTAAAAATGATTCCAGCCGAGACATTTCAGATTCGGTTTAGTACAGATTAAAGCCTTCATTTTCATCTTTAGCATTTGCTTTATTTTTTATTTTTTAAAGAAAGAGTGAGAGAGAGAGAGAAAGAGAGAGAGAGAGAGAGAAAATTTTAATATTTATTTTTTAGTTCTCGGCGGACACAACATCTTTGTTTGTATGTGGTGCTGAGGATCGAACCCGAGCCGCACGCATGCCAGGTGAGCACACTACCGCTTGAGCCAAATCCCCAGCCTAGCATTTGCTTTCAATAAGAAATAAAAATACTTAAAATCTTTTCTCAACTGAATTAATTTCTTCCATTATTTTCAGTTAGTAGTTTTTCATCAACTACATTCATTTTTTATTTAAGAAATTATATTTTATTTAAGAATTTTAATATTTTGGCAGCTATTAGGGACAGAATTGAGATCAAACATCTGCAGTATTTTCTTAAATCTTAAAGAAAAACAAAATATGTTCATTTTAAAAAGGAAACAAATAAAAAAACCCCACAAGTGACGGAATTTCCCTTTCCACCCTTCAGCATCTCAAGGCACCTTGCTCCCATTTTGAGGCTTTCCTGGACTCAGTTGCTCAAAGCAACTGAGACATTGACATAGGAGACATTGATATTTCTCCCCCGCCACCCTCCTGTTCTGGGGACTGAACACAGGGGCTTGTGCGTGCTAGGCAGGCACTCTACCACTGGAGTGCGTTCCTCGCCATCCCCCCTCACCTTTTTTTAAGACTTTAACCTTTATTTATTTGTTTTTATGTGGTGTTGAGGATGAACCCAGGGTCACCTGTCCTAGGCTAGTGCTCTACCACTGAGCCACACCCCCAGCCTCCCCAGCACTTTTACTGGGTACTCAGCCCAGGGGTGCTTTATCACTGAGCTGAATCCCCAACCCTTTTTATATTTTATTTTGAGGCAGTCTTGCTGAATTGCTTAGGGCCTCCCTAAATTGCTGAGAGTGGCATTGAATTTGTGATCCCCCTCCCTCAGCCTCCTAGTAACTGGGATTATAGTGCGCCAACACACTCAGCTGTGACATCTTATCTAAAGTAGGTGCTCCTTGTCCTTCCTGTGAGTACTTGGTTTCCTTTAGACACTTAACCACAGTTTACAGTTTTTAACTTGATATGCTTACTATTTTTTTTTTCACAAAAATCTTAAGTTTCATGAGTCCAGATCTTATCTTTCTCACTCCCAGTAGTTTCTTGTGTGCCAACTACAGTGCTGCGAAGATAGTGGACCTTCAGTAAATATATGTTGGATGTGGAGTATCCCTATCTGGGGCCTAGGTAAGGAGGTTTCTGTAAGGTGCTCTGTGACTGCGGAAAGAAAGCCCATACTGAGAACTTCAGAGGAAAATACTGTCTTAAAATTGAAATCTATGGAGAATAGAATTAGTTATAAACAAATCAAGAGTCCTGGAATGCCGTTATTTCCCCTTTACTCATATAAAGAGTTTTCTTTTTTAGCCAAGCACAGTAGCACACACCTGTAATCCCAGCAACTCAGGAGGCTGAGGCAGGAGGATGGCAAGTTTTATAACTTAGTGAGGCTCTAAGCAACTTAGGGAGGCAGACCCTGTCTCCAAAAAAGTGGGTGGGGTTGGGGATATGGCTCAGTGGTAAGGCATTTTAATCCCCAGTACCTGCTCCCGCTTCAAAAAAAAAATTTTTTTTTTAATTCTTTTTTTTTTTTTTTTGGTGGTGCTGGGGAATTGAACCCAAGGCCTTGTGCATGTAAGGCAAGCACTTTACCAACTGAGTGATATCCCCAGCCCCTCTTTTTTCATTCTTTACCACGTTTAAATATTTTTATTCTTACTGTTTAATTTTCTTTTTTTTTTTTTTGAATTTTTTTTTTAATATTTATTTTTTAGTTCTCAGCGGACACAACATCTTTGTTTGTATGTGGTGCTGAGGATTGAACCCGGGCAGCACGCATGCCAGGCACGCATGCCAGGCGAGCGCTGCCGCTTGACTGCTTGATTTTCTTTTGTTTGTTTTTTTAAGTGGTACTAGGGATAGAATGCAGGGCCTGGTGCATGCTATCTAAGCACTCTACCACTGAGCTACTGCCCAGCCCTTCCTGCTAATCTTATTTAGAGATAAATGACAACATTGGTTTGGATACTTAAAATTGTTAATAACAGAAAACCCCAATTCAGTTCAGCTCTAATGACCAAAGAAGTCTAGGAAGAGCTCCATGTGCATGTTGCTTGCCAGGGTCCACTTGCTTGTGATTCTCTTGGCTCTGTCTTCTGGTGTTGGTTTTGTCCTCAAGCCACTGTCAAGTCTGCACAGGTTTCACATCCAAGGTGTTCCTTTGCTAGAATCCTGGGAGATTCTGTGTCTTAATAGTTAGAACTGGGTCCCGTGATTATGTCTAAATCAGTCAGTGGCAAGGCGAATGGAATTATCAAAACCGACTTAGAATCAGTCAGGAACTGCCCTAGGGTTGGGGTTTGGATCATCATCGCCTGCAGTCCTGGGAAGAGGGAGGAATGGATGCTGACCAAAAATAGGTGTCCTATCATCAAAAAATGATAAGAATGCATGGATGTTGGGCAGGCAACTATCAATTTGCTAAAGTGCCTTCTGTGCTCTGTTAGTTCCCAGATGATTTGGGGACTTATGTTTTTGCGAAAGATGATGGCTTAATTTTTTAAAAAATATGTTTTTAGTTGTCAATGAATCTTTATTTTATTTATTTGTATGCAGTGCTGAGAATCAAACCCAGTGCCTCACACGATAGGCAAGCGCTGTACCACTGAGCCACAACCCCAGCCCTCAATTTATTTTTGAGAAAAATTATTAATCAGGAAAATCAGGAGATAATATTTCAGGGCTGGGGATGTGGCTCAAGCAGTAGCGCGCTCACCTGGCATGCGTGCAGCCCAGGTTCGATCCTCAGCACCACATACAAACAAAGATGTTGTGTCCGCCTATAACTAAAAAAATAAATATTAAAATTCTCTCTCTCTCTCTCTCTCTCTCTCAAAAAAATATTTCAGTGGTACAATTAAAGTGAGCTATAATATAGTTAGAAGCTATTAGGGCTAATGTAGGAACTAGATTAATAATTAAAAAACACTTTATTTTGAGATGAATTCAAATTTACAGACAAGTTGCAAGAATAACAATTCAAAGAACACCCTTTACTTTTGTTTACATATTGTTAACATTTTACCACATTTTCCCTTATTATTCTTTTCCTGTCAGTTGCATACCCCATGGCTTTTTTTCCCCCAAGTACTCCAGTAAGTAGGATGTGTCCTGTATATACAATGTTGTTACATTACAGTTATCAACTTCAATCAATCAGTCTCCCACCCCCCTCCTGGAATAAGAAACCAAGACCCAAAAAGATTAAGTAACTTACCCATGGTTAAGTAGCTTCCAGATGGAAAGTTTAGCCTGTTTTGCAACAAGTCAGGTATTGGTTCCACCCCTATTACAACAGAATCCTTTCTGACTAGCTACAACATTTAGCAGTGTACATTATAGTATAAAATTTGTGATTGTTCTTTTAAACTGGATATAACTATCCCACAGCACTTGATCTATAAAGAATTCTGGGTCCCCAAAATTATCCTTGACACTATATTTAGTTTTTAAGCCAAAATTCTTAGAAACATTAATGTCATATTGGTTTGCCTTAAAAAGTTCTCATTTTTGCTTTTTAGTTCATGTGAAATAAAAATGTTTTTGAATTTGACTGTCTGAATCTTACAGGGTACTAAGCTGGCTTGGTTTAGGTTTGGGTTTGTCCAAGTTTAAGGCAAGGTAGGTTGATATTCCTTTAACATCAGGGAGGGAACTGTTATTTACCAAGCATGACAGTGTCAAACAGCGATCAGGTTACTGGTCTATGAAGAGCAGAGTCCAAAAGACATCGAGAGGGATTCAAAGTTTAACCATGGAGCAAACTCTTTGCAGTTTTTTTTGCATGTTTCCCTGTCAGTGTTTATGAAATATGGTGAACCCACCAAATGCATCAGAATTAGAATTGCGTGAAGGGCTTATTAGATTGCAGGTTCCTAGGCCCCTCCTCAGCCTACTGAAAGCAGGCATCTGAAGGGAGATCTGGTAGTCTCCATTTAAACCTGCTGCTTGAGGATTCTTCCACGTCCTATATAATTCTGTTAATAGATGCCCTTTATCTTTAGAGCTTTCCCATAGTCATTCTGTGACTTGTGTTTTCCTTCATTTTAATAGGTTTAGGGTAGAAAGGTTTTTGTTTGCTTGCTTTTTTAAAATGAAAGATGCATGTTCATATTATAAATATCGGAAAGAATGAAAGAATATGTGTACGGTGAGCTACACCCTCGACTTTGGAGCCTTGTGTTCTTCTAAGCCCTTGATGTGTATTAGCTCCTTTATTCCCATACAATCCACTGAGGAAGGTACTGATATAGTCCCTGTTTTATAAGAAGAAAACAGCCCAGAGAGGCCAGATTACTTCTTAGAGTACTTAGCTAGGAAATGGTGGAGTTGTCTGAGTGGCTGGCTCTAGATCAGTGCTCTTAACTACCATTCCCCGCTGAGTGAGTGGAAATAAGGATTAACCAGATTAGTGCATGTGGGGAGCTTGTTATAGGAGAGTGGAGAGTTCCTTAAGGTGAATATTCTACGTGGACTCCAAGAGACCCTCCTGACTGCCTCTCCCCCTGGTAGGTGGGATCCTTGGGTCACTTCACCCTCATCTGTTCCTCTCTCAATTGCACAGGCTCTTATTTGGAGAGTAGATTTTATGATTGGGTAATGCTGAATAAGGAAATGGTAGCAACCCAAGTCTTTCCATTGTCTTGTCCTGGACTGGGTTTATTTACATGGTAAGAGCTTGGGAGGGTCATAATTCTTCCACTTCCTATCATTTGACTTTATTGAATTTTAATTCTTTGATATGGTTATGGTCAGGAAATATTGGTACAGTCTGTGCAGTACCAGAGATTTTTGACATCCTACATAAATAATATCTTTGCTCACTCCATGCAGTGGACGAAACTTTATGGTCACTGTTTCTTAAAGCACAGGGTCACAACACACTTCATCAGCTAAGGGAGTTAAGTGTGGAATATACTTAGATTCTTTCCCCCATTGTTTTTTGAAAGCTAAAGTAATGTAGGGATTCTAATGACCAAGGGTTTGAACTAACGAAACTGTTTATAAGCCCTGGGTTCTATACCTGAAGCATCTTTAAAGC